GGCGCCGACGCGCCCTCGGCGCAGTAGTGGCCCTGCTCGCAGTCGCGGCAGGAGGTCGCGCCCGTAAAGACATAGAACTTGCACACCGTCAGCCCGCCAAAACCCTGCACACTTGTTCGTCGAAGATAAATATAGCGCCCCATCATGTTGATCTCCACCTCCAACATCATATTCGCCTGTACGTCCACGTTTGATTTTACCAGCGTGTTTCCCGTGTAATCACCTCCGTTTGAGCCGAGATAGATGCTGACGTCCGTCAGCCGCTCCGGGCAGCAGTCGTTGCGGTTCTGCAGGCGCACGAAGCTCACATACACCTCGCTCCCAAGGTCGACGCCCCACCATTCGTTGCTGTAGTGGCCACACTCTTCCCACGGTCGTCCGGTTGTGCTGTCGGCGAATGACAGGTCGTTCACGGGTGCCTGCTTGTCGAAGGCTGCGATGCTCTGGTATGTATTGGCGGCGCGGAGGTCGAGCAGCTGCTCGTTCTGGTAACGGCCCGCAGGACAGTCCTTGCACTCACTCAGCCCGGAGGCGTCGCCGTATGTTCCAGCCCGGCAGCTCGCGCACGTCTCCCTGCTGTTTGCGCCGGTGGTCGGGCTAGAGGTGCCGGGGGGGCATTGCTGACAGTCATCGGATGAGCTGCTGCCCTGCTCCTCGTTGTAGGTACCTGCTGGACACGGCGTGAAGCCGCCGCCGCACGTCGCGGCGGCGTCGCAGTATCCGCCCGTGACACACGTGTCGCATGACGTCTGGCCTCGCTCAGCCTGGAACTCGCCAGCAGGGCAACGCGTGCACGCGGCCTGGCCGGTGAGGTCCTGGTACTCGCCCGCAGGGCAAGCAAAGCACTCGTCGACGGCGACACCGTCCGCAAAGCTGCCTGTAGGGCACTCGACGCAGCTGGGTTGGATCCAGGTGGTGGGGTCGCTCTCTGTGCGCGCCGCTGCGGCGCTGGTGTTGTAGAAGACGCCCGGCTTGTCCTTGCAAGCGGTGCACGCGTCGCTGCCGAGCGGGCGCTCGCCGAGGGGGCAGGGGTCTGTCGCGCAGAGCTCTCCGACGCCGGGCTGTTGCTCAAAGTCGGGGAGGCACTCAACGCAGGAGGTGCCCGCGAGTCCCATGAAGGAAGGGCACTTGAAGCACCAGCTCTTGCCGTGGAGCTGTGCACCTCCGTGTGAGCAGGCGCTCCCAAAGAGGATCTGGTTCTCTTGGTTGTAGCCGGAGTTGCCGACCACGATGTCCACGAACCCGTCCCCGTCGACGTCCGCCACCGAGGTAGAGTAAGTCCACCTGCTCCCTCCAGGAAGGGCGAACCCTTTCGCGGCCTCGGAGAAGGTCCTCCCGTCCGCGCTCCCATAAAGGATCTGGTTCTCAAAGTCGGAGTTGCCGAGCACGATGTCCACGAACCCGTCCCCATCGACGTCCGCCACCGAGGTGGAGAGAGTCCTCCTGCTCCCTCCAGCAAGGGCGACCTCGGAGAAGGTCCTCCCGTCCGCGCTCCCAAAGAGGACCTGGTTCTCTTGGCCGGTGCCCCAGTTGCCGACGACGATGTCCATGTACCCGTCCCCGTCGACGTCCGC